GCAGAGTTTGAGCAGAGAAGTGACTTCATCTGACCTAGGTCTTGAAAGAATCAGCATTGCTATTGAGGGCTGGGAACTGGCTCCTCAGTCACAGGGAGGTGTGCAGTATCACTCAGCATTTTCTGTCTGTGCCTCAGTTGTTCTCTGGTCCCAGAAAGCCTCTTGTAGCTTTCAGCTCTCCTCTTGCGTCATGTCCTAAAGCAAATAATGTCTGGCTGGTTCCACTGTTAATGCTGCTGCTCTTTTAACTGGTGGCCTTTCTGCTTCCCTTGTTTATTGAACCTCTCAGGCCTAGGTAAGTAAGTGTTAAGCAGTTCATTAAATATTACATTTAATTTTCTGCTCTTTGACGCTCTATCATCAGACAAAGTCCTCTACAAAGGTGAGCTCCATATCCCTCTGGAAAAACTAACAGTTTAAACTGCTTTAAACAAAAAGAGGAAGTAGAAAAATCTATCTTCTACTGTAAATTTTAACGTGTGGACCCTTGGTGGGAAAATTAATGATCGTTCCCACCCACAGACACACAATCTTGGGTGCATATCTTTTTAAACCAAACGTGCTTCGATTATAAGAAAAAAAGCCATCTTTTTTTTCTCATAGTTATTTTGCTCTGCAGTTTTTCAGTACTACTTTTCCTCAGATGTTAAAAAATAAATACATAAAGCCTAAGGGTCTTCTGGTAAAACTGAAGCTGTAACTGCAGGTTCACAGAATTTCTTCCCCAAAATTATGTAAGATTAACAAATATCAAATGTAAAAATACCAGAGAACATGCCATCAGCCCTGAAGCCAAGAGAAGCTTTCAACTTTATACTGTTCACTTTGAGAAAAATCATCCATAAAGAGAAAAATTGGAACAAATTGAAAGAAGGTGCTAAAAAGTCATCATATTCTTCAAAGAGAAGAATGGAACATGCAGAAGTACAGTGAGATTTTGGAAAGTCTCACTGCTTTTGAAGGTATTGGCATTCTGTATGCAGGTATGCCAGAAGGAAAGCTTAGAATACCCAGCTCCACTGGGGCCTGTTTCTTTCATCAGAAAGACTTCTTTCCTCAGGCAGGAAGAGTCAGCAGGAGTTACCATCTTTCCTGCCTCTTATGTATCAATAAGTGGGTAAGGCATGGGAAAGCATTTGCTAGCAATAATTATTAACATCCAACCAAGAAAAAGCTCCACCATGGCCGGCTTTTGGCACAGGTGGAGCTCACAGGAGAGAGACAGTGAAAGACAGAGAGGGAAAGTGAGAAATCACACCACAGGGTGGATGGCCATGCTGCAGTCCCTTCTCCTCTGTTCTCTTGGCAGTTTGGGCATGTACGCACATGCACCCAGTGTGTTTTTCAAGCCCCTGGGTCCAGGACTGGAACCACGGTTGGATGTGGGAGTCTATTGCCTTAGCTATCACATCACCTCTAGTTTCCTGGTACATCTTTTAAAAAAAATTTTTTTTCTTTATTCATGATAGAGAATGTGTGTGCATGTGTATGAGAGAGAAAGAGAGAGGAACACCCTTTACAGGGTCTGGTTATTCAGCACCCCCTTGTTCTAGTCCTCCAGGCCATCAGACCTCAGGCACTGACTAGTGTATATGCCTGGCATGTTTCAGGTGGATGGAGCTGGGGAGTCAATACTTTTTTGTACAGGGGTTTGGTTTCTCTTGAGCGACCCTCAATAGCAATGCTGATTCTTTCAAGACTGAAGTCAGGTGATGTCACTTCTCTGCTCAAACTCTGCAGCAGCTCTCCATTTCCCCTAGAGTAAAAGCTAGTCCCCTCCAATGCAGGCGGCCCCAGGTGATCTGGCACCGTTACCTCCCCACCTCATCTCCCGCTGGTTTCTCCCTGCCTCATTCCAGCCATGCTGGCCTCCTCTATGTCCCTCTCTCTCTCTCACTCTATCCCTCTCTGCTCAAATTAAAATAAATAAATAAAGTTAAATAAAATGTTCCTTTAAAAAAAAGATATACAGTGATAATAGTAAACCAGAAGTCACAATTGATCAATAAATAAAGGAAGAACCTGAGATCAGTAATCTGCAAGTTAAAAAATGATAGAAATAGGGCGCCGAGGAGGCCCGAGCTCGTCAGTCGCTCCGATGTGGGGAATGGGAGGCGTGATGGTTCACATCTTGAATGGACAAGTATTGGACAGTGGAGTCAGTCCCCATGGAGGTTATCTTTGATAACAGATTTCTTCTGGGGAATAGCCGAGTTTGTAGTTTTGTTTTTCAAAACTCTGCTTCAGCAAGATGTGAAAGAGAGAAGAGGCCATAGAAACTCATCTGATTCCAGATATGATGACGGAAGAGGGCCCCTCGGAAACCTCCCTGAAGAATGGGTCGAATCAATCATCTGCGTGGCCCCAGTCCTCCTCCAAGGGCTGGTGGAGGAGGAAGGTGAACATCTGCTCTAAGAAGCAGACGACTGGACGTGCACATCCATAAGCAGGAGGAAGCCGTCAGGAAGGAGAGGTCTGACCACGCCAGACAAGCTAGATGACTGTGCCCGTCTGAACAAGGACTGCTCTGTGTCCTCACAGATGAATGAGGTTATGCCAGGAATTCCCTCCGCAGGGATCTGGCCTGATCGATACGCAGTTCTATAAATGCACATTTGTCTCATTATCTTTTTTGTATAGTTGATTAAAGTATTGGTATCATTTTAATAAGTAAAAAAAATAATAAAAATGAAACAATACCATTACTTCCTACAGGGAAAAACAAATTTATTTGATAAAGGAATAGTCTTCTTACCTTAGAGATGATCCAAATTTATAATTACTGCATAATGTAATGGAATATAATTGTTTATTAGGTAAAGTATTCAATATGCAATACGGTTAGTATAATATATGTAATAATATAAACATTATCAACTTCAAAGTTTTGATGTAACTATTATTGGGATGATAGAGAAGAAGTAAGAATGATGGTCAGAGATCTAAATCGCCCACTTCTGTAATTTGGATTGTGTCTAGAAGGATCCACCAAGAAAAAAAAAGTATATATTATTTATTAACATGACGGTAAATATCAGAAGAATTAGCTAAAATAGTTTATGTGTCACGGACTGCAAAGTAGAGAGTTGGATTTAGCCTAGGGAGAAGGGCTTCTGTCATTTATTATAAGCATTTTTGTATCATCTTATTTTTTCAACCATATAAAACCTCAGTAAACCAACAACACAGATAAAAGTTTAAGGGATGTTAAAAAACCAGCTTTCAAAAAGCACTTACATCATTTTCTTTTCAACTTACTAAGATGTGAAAAGATTTTATAACCAAAAATATTTTCATAAGAAGCTCTATAATAGCACTTCTTTAAAATTAAAGTTTTATTTTCTACATAGATGTGGCTCCAGGGGGTCTGAATTGCCATCTCCTTAAAAAATAAATAAATAAATAAATAAATAAATGGCAGCAAACAGTATGAAACTTTAAAAGTGCTTTGCCTAAGAAATTGAATCACATACTTCCACCCTCTAATTGTATTCTTTCGGTTTTTCAAGATACTAAAGAAGGGACCTTTATTTTAGCTCTTGACTGGGGGCGTAACAAAGCCATCTGTACAGGGATTCAGCTACAAGGAAAAGAACCATTTTAACTAAAGGGGTTGCTGTCCTGATGCCACATGAGATGACATGGTAGTTTTCATTGCCTCGTTGTCTTTAAATATTCTGTTGCTATGTAAACTCTAGATTCTCATCATAAATTATCCATGTCATGTTTCCTGTATGTAATATGTTATGATTTTTCATGACCCTTTGGGATCCCTTAGTGACCTCCTCACATATAGGGTGCAAAAAAGTCTATTTTTATTGTGTAGCAGGATGAAAGGGAAAATATTGCAAGCCTGTGATACAAGTTTAAGAGTCTACATGAAGACAAACCCAAAAGAACTGAGTAAGAGAGGCAAGGCTCAGGTTATTTGGTGGACACAGATGGGGGCTTAAGAAAATGTAAAGGAAGCCTTAGGGAGTCTGGAGAATGCACACCGCGGGCTCTGAACTAGAGACTGAACATCTTGGCCCTGCAAGGCCAGTGACTCAGGAGGGAAGTGATACCATCAACCTAGGAATGGGAACAGTTATTTAAGCAGCAGCATTAAATACACACTGGGCCATGATGTGGATGTGTTACCAGGAGTTTCTTGAAGAAAGTAATTAGAGCCATTTCTGGTTGTGAAGATTCCAGTAACAGAGGAAAAGAAAGGGATTCGCACTGGAAATACCGTGGAAGAAAGAGTGAATTTTGTGGTAGAGAGGATCTATAGGGGAGAGCCAGTGGTGAACCGAAGGTTACACCAAATTTGTTTTTGTTTGAGAAGTTGAAAAATATGGGCACCTGGATAAAGGATCCTGAAAAATACGTATTTCTGACTTCCCAGGCTTGAATGATGTTGACATCGAGACATGTATGTGTTGTCTGATTTCTGAGCATGGACAGACTTAACAAAAATGATATGATATTAGTAATCCGCTTTACCCTTTCCTGGGAAATACATCTAAATTCTTGGAAATTTACATAGCACCTGGGGAGAGGAGGTCCGGAGGCTGTGTATAAATCAGTCTTTAAGTCCAGTGATGTTACTCTAGTGGCCAGTATGTGCGCTCCGTGAGCTAGGTTTTCCAAGAGAACTATAGATGCATATAGTATTTGGTTCTAACTCATTTTGCTTCCCTTCACATTCCTAAAGTATTTATCCAAAGATATTTGCATTTTGACTTTTTTCTTTTCATGATAAGAGAATTAAAATAGGGCTCTTGCTTCAAACTCAGCACAGGTTCTAGTGTAGATGAACGAATCTACAAGTCACCGACGTGACTCCTAGCTCCATCTGTTGGTGGCCAGGAGAATTGACTTGCTTTGACTTAAGCTGATTTTGTACACACTTGCAAGTCCCCTGTTGAGTTTGTAAGTAGAGAAACTTATGTAATGTCGCAGTCATGTGCTACTTAGCCAGCCAGCAACATCTTCCTTTCTCTGTCTCTCTTGTGAAGGTGTGGCGGGGCACCCTGGCCCGCAGGCGGTACAAGAGGACCAAAGCAGCTCTGACCATAATCAGGTACTATCGACGCTACAAAGTGAAGTCGTACATCCACGAGGTGGCCAGGCGCTTCCATGGCGTCAAGACCATGAGAGACTATGGGAAGCATGTAAAGTGGCCAACTCCTCCTAAAGTTCTTCGTCGCTTCGAGGATGCCCTACAGGCGATTTTTAATAGGTAAGAACTCTTAGATACATGCTGCATCCATTTATGGTAGCACACTTAATATATGAAATCACAAACCCAGGACCACGGTATTGACTCAGCGATTTTCTGTTATGACATTTATCTTTACCTGGTGTCTTCAGTTATAGATCTCATTTTGTTTTCTCTTCTTTTTTTTGGAGAGTTTTTTGCTATAGGGTGCGTGCGGTCCTCAGAAAGACAGAGAGAGACAGAAACAGTGAGAAATCACCCTCTGGAGGGATGGCCACACTGCACGCTGCAATCCCTTCTCCTCCATCCTCCTCTTGGGATCTTGGGCATGCACACACACACGCCTAGCCTGAGTTTAAGCCATGAGTTTAAGCCACCAGGCCCAGGACTCGAACCACAGTCAACTACATGGGAGTCCAGCAACATAGCCATTACACCAACTGCTGGATTCATTTCCAGAGGGCATCTGTCTACCTCTCAAAACAATGGAACTGTCAATTTATTTGTTCTGTAGAGGCAGACAGCAGTATATTACAATCTCTGGACCCACACAATATTTAAAATAAGCTACTAGCATTCCGTCTCTACTTCCTTCTATTAGCAAAAAAAAAAAAAAAGCTTTATCTTCAAATCATCACACGTAATTCAAAGTAGAAAGTGTGTGAATCCTCTCAGAGCACTGGTTCTCGATCCTGCGGTTCCTTAGAATCACGAGGATTTATGAAATGTACCAATGCCTTGGTCCCACCTCCACAGTCCGTTTAATGGAACTGGGGTGTAGAACCCAGGCAGAGGTTCTTTTTAAGTTTCCCACATGGTTTAAAAGCACAGAGAAGGATGGAACAACTGTTTTTGAGCAAACTGTTTTATAAACAAAGGTTCGTGTAAAATTTGGTACCTTTCCAGCAGACTTCACTTTTTTTTTTTGAGAGGTTTTCGCCATAGGGCACATGCACTCGCCAGACAGACAGAGAGACAGAGAGACAGAAAGCAAGAAACCAGGGGGGATGGCCATGCCACAATCCCTTCCCCTCCATTCTCCTCTTGGGATCTTGAGCATGCACGCACACACACCCGGCGTGAGTTTTAAGCCACCAGGTCCGGGACTCGAACCGCGGTCGACTACATGGGAGTCCAGCAACATAGCCATTATGCTAACTGCTGGTCCCCAGACTTCACTTTTTTATTACCTACCCTGAATCTGAGTTTCTAGGTACCCATATGTCCTTCATGTGTTGTCAGTGGACATCATACCTGTGCAGCTCTGCCTGAGATACAGCTGTTTAGGCATACAAGCTAAGCTCGTAGTTCTAAAATGTAGTCATCTGGTATCATGGTACATCATAATTAATTAATTGATAAACTGAATGTAAAACCACTGATGTATACTTCAGGACCAAATCATATTGCAGTGATTAAGAAAACAGACCTGGAGGCTGGGTTCATATTCCACCTTTTCCACTGACTTCGGCAAAACCAGTTAACCTCCTAGGGCCGCAGTTTCCTTCTCTGTCAAAGGACCTGCCTCCTGTGGCAGAGAGGATTATGAGTAAATATGGATAAAGCATTTGACATGGCACCTGACACGAAGTAAACACCACAGAAACGCTTGTTCATACCAAGTGTGCATGCATACACAGTCCACATCATTTGGGCTTTATTTTTCCCTCTCATTTTTATGCAAGCAGGATTATATGTATAGCTATGTGACTTTACTTAGTAAGTCTTAGAGTCCTGTCCATAACAATAAAAATCTACCAAATATTTTTCACGGCTGCAGAAGATTCGTTCTGAGTTTGATGCAGTTATGCTACGTCTCAAACAGTCATCTTTCTATATTTTGCAGTTTCAGTTGTAGCCTAGAACTGATTAATTTGTATAAAATCCAGTTTATTCATTCAGCAAATATTTACGAAATGCCTGTTGTGTTAGGCACTGGTCGAGAGCTTGTGTTAGGCACTGGTTAGGCAGCTTTCCCAGAGCTCATACTCCATGGCATTTGAAAATAGCGTGTCTGTTCTGTGTGTTGTCTGCGCGCATATGCAGATACACACATGCGCACGCGCACACACACACACACACACACACACACACACACACTGAGTCTTGCCAGCTGTGGTAATCTATCCCAGGGGTTAGTAAACTTTTTCTAAAAGGGCACAATAGTAAACGTTTTATGCTTAATGGGCTACATATGGCCTCTGTCATATATTCTTCTTTGTTTTGGTTTGGTTTTATTACAAAAATGTAAAAGCTAGTCTTAGCTTATGGGCAGTCCAGAAACAGAATGTGGGCCACATTTGACATAGGCTATAGTTTACCAAACCCTGATCTAGTCACTAGCTGGAATTTTAGGCAAATGCACACACACAAATGCACACACACCTTGTGTGAGTTTTAAGCCGCTGGGACTCGAACTGCAGTTGAGTGCGTGCAAGTTCAGCGACGTAACCATTATGCCATCTGCTGGTCTCTAATTGAGCCTTCTTTGTTCCCCACTTTGTCTTCTTTTCCTATCATTAAGGCTGGTGATTTTTACGGCTGCAGCTGGTGATGGCGGCAATTTGCTTGATCAGGATGAGAAATGTGGGTAGCTCTCCATGGTTGTGTAAGTCAGGTCCCAAGTCATCCAGGTGCCTCTGTGCCATGGACCTCAGTCAGGTGTGGACCTTGTCCTGGGCCACTGTGGGCAGTGAAGAAGGGACAGAATGACCACTTATGTAGGTTGGATGCAGACCAACAGACCATACGGGGAACTTCTTCTCACCAGTAAGCAGACTTTGGACCTCAGGGGCTAATTAGAGCCATTGCCTAATTTAGTGTTGCAGGACCTTCCTGTCACCAGTGCCCTGACTTTCTGTACCAGCTACTCCAGGGGTGGCGGGGCCCCCTGGCCCGCAGGCGGTACAAGAGGACCAAAGCAGCTCTGACCATAATCAGGTACTATCGACGCTACAAAGTGAAGTCGTACATCCACGAGGTGGCCAGGCGCTTCCATGGCGTCAAGACCATGAGAGACTATGGGAAGCATGTAAAGTGGCCAACTCCTCCTAAAGTTCTTCGTCGCTTCGAGGATGCCCTACAGGCGATTTTTAATAGGTAAGAACTCTTAGATACATGCTGCATCCATTTATGGTAGCACACTTAATATATGAAATCACAAACCCAGGACCACGGTATTGACTCAGCGATTTTCTGTTATGACATTTATCTTTACCTGGTGTCTTCAGTTATAGATCTCATTTTGTTTTCTCTTCTTTTTTTTGGAGAGTTTTTTGCTATAGGGTGCGTGCGGTCCTCAGAAAGACAGAGAGAGACAGAAACAGTGAGAAATCACCCTCTGGAGGGATGGCCACACTGCACGCTGCAATCCCTTCTCCTCCATCCTCCTCTTGGGATCTTGGGCATGCACACACACACGCCTAGCCTGAGTTTAAGCCATGAGTTTAAGCCACCAGGCCCAGGACTCGAACCACAGTCAACTACATGGGAGTCCAGCAACATAGCCATTACACCAACTGCTGGATTCATTTCCAGAGGGCATCTGTCTACCTCTCAAAACAATGGAACTGTCAATTTATTTGTTCTGTAGAGGCAGACAGCAGTATATTACAATCTCTGGACCCACACAATATTTAAAATAAGCTACTAGCATTCCGTCTCTACTTCCTTCTATTAGCAAAAAAAAAAAAAAAGCTTTATCTTCAAATCATCACACGTAATTCAAAGTAGAAAGTGTGTGAATCCTCTCAGAGCACTGGTTCTCGATCCTGCGGTTCCTTAGAATCACGAGGATTTATGAAATGTACCAATGCCTTGGTCCCACCTCCACAGTCCGTTTAATGGAACTGGGGTGTAGAACCCAGGCAGAGGTTCTTTTTAAGTTTCCCACATGGTTTAAAAGCACAGAGAAGGATGGAACAACTGTTTTTGAGCAAACTGTTTTATAAACAAAGGTTCGTGTAAAATTTGGTACCTTTCCAGCAGACTTCACTTTTTTTTTTTGAGAGGTTTTCGCCATAGGGCACATGCACTCGCCAGACAGACAGAGAGACAGAGAGACAGAAAGCAAGAAACCAGGGGGGATGGCCATGCCACAATCCCTTCCCCTCCATTCTCCTCTTGGGATCTTGAGCATGCACGCACACACACCCGGCGTGAGTTTTAAGCCACCAGGTCCGGGACTCGAACCGCGGTCGACTACATGGGAGTCCAGCAACATAGCCATTATGCTAACTGCTGGTCCCCAGACTTCACTTTTTTATTACCTACCCTGAATCTGAGTTTCTAGGTACCCATATGTCCTTCATGTGTTGTCAGTGGACATCATACCTGTGCAGCTCTGCCTGAGATACAGCTGTTTAGGCATACAAGCTAAGCTCGTAGTTCTAAAATGTAGTCATCTGGTATCATGGTACATCATAATTAATTAATTGATAAACTGAATGTAAAACCACTGATGTATACTTCAGGACCAAATCATATTGCAGTGATTAAGAAAACAGACCTGGAGGCTGGGTTCATATTCCACCTTTTCCACTGACTTCGGCAAAACCAGTTAACCTCCTAGGGCCGCAGTTTCCTTCTCTGTCAAAGGACCTGCCTCCTGTGGCAGAGAGGATTATGAGTAAATATGGATAAAGCATTTGACATGGCACCTGACACGAAGTAAACACCACAGAAACGCTTGTTCATACCAAGTGTGCATGCATACACAGTCCACATCATTTGGGCTTTATTTTTCCCTCTCATTTTTATGCAAGCAGGATTATATGTATAGCTATGTGACTTTACTTAGTAAGTCTTAGAGTCCTGTCCATAACAATAAAAATCTACCAAATATTTTTCACGGCTGCAGAAGATTCGTTCTGAGTTTGATGCAGTTATGCTACGTCTCAAACAGTCATCTTTCTATATTTTGCAGTTTCAGTTGTAGCCTAGAACTGATTAATTTGTATAAAATCCAGTTTATTCATTCAGCAAATATTTACGAAATGCCTGTTGTGTTAGGCACTGGTCGAGAGCTTGTGTTAGGCACTGGTTAGGCAGCTTTCCCAGAGCTCATACTCCATGGCATTTGAAAATAGCGTGTCTGTTCTGTGTGTTGTCTGCGCGCATATGCAGATACACACATGCGCACGCGCACACACACACACACACACACACACACACACACACTGAGTCTTGCCAGCTGTGGTAATCTATCCCAGGGGTTAGTAAACTTTTTCTAAAAGGGCACAATAGTAAACGTTTTATGCTTAATGGGCTACATATGGCCTCTGTCATATATTCTTCTTTGTTTTGGTTTGGTTTTATTACAAAAATGTAAAAGCTAGTCTTAGCTTATGGGCAGTCCAGAAACAGAATGTGGGCCACATTTGACATAGGCTATAGTTTACCAAACCCTGATCTAGTCACTAGCTGGAATTTTAGGCAAATGCACACACACAAATGCACACACACCTTGTGTGAGTTTTAAGCCGCTGGGACTCGAACTGCAGTTGAGTGCGTGCAAGTTCAGCGACGTAACCATTATGCCATCTGCTGGTCTCTAATTGAGCCTTCTTTGTTCCCCACTTTGTCTTCTTTTCCTATCATTAAGGCTGGTGATTTTTACGGCTGCAGCTGGTGATGGCGGCAATTTGCTTGATCAGGATGAGAAATGTGGGTAGCTCTCCATGGTTGTGTAAGTCAGGTCCCAAGTCATCCAGGTGCCTCTGTGCCATGGACCTCAGTCAGGTGTGGACCTTGTCCTGGGCCACTGTGGGCAGTGAAGAAGGGACAGAATGACCACTTATGTAGGTTGGATGCAGACCAACAGACCATACGGGGAACTTCTTCTCACCAGTAAGCAGACTTTGGACCTCAGGGGCTAATTAGAGCCATTGCCTAATTTAGTGTTGCAGGACCTTCCTGTCACCAGTGCCCTGACTTTCTGTACCAGCTACTCCAAACTGGTATACTTCTAGGCTCTTCTGGAATGATTCTGCAACAGTCTGTCTCGGGAGCATTGGTTGTCCACAGAAAGTAGGGAAGAAGAGCTCAATCCCACGTGGCTGACCATGTTATTTTTGAATCTCTGCCCGAGTGGTTTGAAAAACACACCGGGCATGTGCATATGTGTGTCCCAAATCCTGACAGGAGGGAGAAATAGAGGAGGAGGGATTGAGGCATAATCATACCCCAGTGAATTGTGCTTTTTTCCCTCCGTCTCCCTCCCTCTCACTCCCCACCCATCTCTGTCTCTGTCCCCTCTCTCTGGCAAGCACATGCACCCTTCGGCAAAGAAAAAAAAAAAAAAAAAAAAAAAAGAAAGTAGAGAAGAGGCTCTCGCTGTTAGGCTGAGCATCTATGTTTTCATGCCTGTTGTTTCGGCAGCCTACTGTCTCTCTGACCCTCTCTGCTGTGGCCAGTGTCCTGCCTCACCATTGCCTGCCATCCGGCACACAGGGAACTGGCGCCGCTCCTTCCTGGAAATCCTTCACCTCCTGCCCTTACTACTGCCCCCTGCTGCTTCAGGTGCAAGGGTTCTCTGAAACCCGTTTATGTCTAAGAGCTCTTCTTCCACCGAGTGAATGTCTCCCCACTGAGCCACTTCTCCATCCACCTGGTCCCATCTGCTCCATATCATCCAGAAAGTCTTTACACCTTCCAGCATATTGACATCATTCCCATATCCTGCTAGTATTATAGATTTTTCTTTATTTTTTTATATGCATTCAAGTTTTTCAGTGGGAATTTGAGAGAGAAATACAAACACTTAGTCTCCAGTCAAAATCTTGAAACCAGAATACATCTCAGGAAACTGTTAGATGGAAAATTCTGTCTAAGATTTTACATATGTAACTTTCCATTTCAGTTGAATCACCTTTCTAGTGTTCCATAGGAACCTAGTTTGAGAACCTCTGGCCTCCATTATTCATCTGATTAGAAGGAAGAGCTGTTCGCTTCTAGCACCTATGGCAGAACAGAGGACTTAAGCATTATATAGGGTTAGGATGCAGTTAAGAGCATAGGAGATCTTGGGACCAGCAGTTAGCATAATGGCTGTGTCGCTGGAGTCCCATGTAGTCAACCACGGTTCAAGTCCTGGACCCGGTGGCTTAAACTCATGCCAGGCACGTGTGCGTGTGTGGCCAAGATCCCGAGAGGAGAATAGAGAAGAAGGGATTGAACATGGCCATTCCCCCGGGGGGTGATTTCTCACCTTCTATCTTTCTGTCTCTCTCTGTCTTTCTGGCGAGCACACGTGCCCTATAGCAAAAACCTCTCCAAAAAAAGAAAAAAAACAAAAAAAGAGTATAGGAGATCTTGTATGTCTTTTTCTCCATCTGGAATAGGTTATTTTTGATCTAAGCTTTCAGAGCTTGAGCCAAAAAACCTTGGAGTCATCCTTAAATCCTCTCTGGCCCCCACATCTAATTAATCAGCACACTCCTTTGGCTTTTCCTTCAGAACCAACACTGATCTCCACCCCCTCCACCACCTCCCTGGTCCTCTAGCATGCGCGTGACAGAAGTGGCCTCCTGACAGGTCATCCCAGTTCCGGCCTCCCACAGCCACAGTGATCCTTTTAAAGCATTCATCGGTCACATCCCTCCCTCATGCACACCTTCCAATGGCTTTTTTTCTCATACAGAATAAAGGTAGCAGTCCTCCTGGCTCTGGCCTTGGCCCTCCCTCTGACCTCCTATTACTCTCCCCATTCCTCATGCCACCTCTGCTTCACAGGACCCTGGCTGCTCCTCCAGTACATCAAGTGAGCTCACATCCCAAGCCTTTGCCCTTGCTGAGTTTTCTTCCTGGAGCGCCCTAGCTCGGATCTTCATATGGCTGGCTCCTTCACTTCCTGTAGAGCCCTGCTCATCTGTATCCGTGGTGACTCTCCAAACCACACTGTATAAATAGCACCTACCTACCCCTTTCTTCTGCTGTACTCTCTGTCGCCCTTGCCTTGTCTTGTCTTCCTCCTTAGCAATATTCACCATCATACCCTGCTCTTTGTATGTTTATTGTCTGTCACTTCTCTCCAGAATACAGGCACCTAACAGCAAGGATGTCCGTTTGTTTGGTTGGTTTATTATTGTGCTTCCAGTGCCCAGACCATGCCTGGAGTTATTAATAGGTGGCTAGAACATATGAGTTGAATGAGTGAATAATGAATCTAAATTTTCTGTGCCCTAAATATAAAACTTATGAGAGTTACTGGATCACTAAGTTCTGCTTGCTTTCACAACACACATCAAGGCAAGTTTTACACAATAACTATCCATACAAAACTATGTGTGTTTTATTAGGAAGTTCTATGTATATCTCAGAGGCATTTTACTGTTTTGCGCATAATATGCAAGCACTTTGGCATCATTCTACTTAATGGCAGTTTCAGTTGTTTTTGAGAATGAATGTGATTGTGTTTCCTCTTTATTTTTTGGAGAGGTTTTTGCTATAGGGGATGTGCGCTCTCCAGAAAGACAGAGAGAGACAGAGATGGAAAGCGAGAAATCACCCCCCAGGGGGGATAGCCACGCCACAATCCCTTCTCCTCCATTCTCCTCTTGGGATTTTGGGCACACACGTACACAGGCCTGGCATGAGTTTAAGCCACCTGGTCTGGGACTCGGACCACGGTCAACTACATGGGAGTCCAGCGACACAGCCATTACTCCAACTGCTGGTCCTAATTGTGTTTCTAAAGTCTAATACAGTTTTTTTATTAACTTGTAGATGGAGAGCATCTCTGCTCATCAAGAGCCTTCCTGCTTCAGACCTGCCCCAGGTCAGGGCAAAGGTTGCAGCCATGGAAATGTTGAAGGGCCAAAGGGCTGACCTTGGGCTCCAGAGAGCCTGGGAGGGCAACTATCTTGCTTCGGTAAGTCTAAGAGAACCAAGGAGAAATTGCTCCTGCTCCCCTAATCAAGAAAGAGAAGGATTTTCCACCAAAAATTAGCAGAAAGAATAAAACACATTCAGAAACTAAATAATTTGAGACATACCAAATTAAAAGATCTTATTGCTATCCATGTGAAGTATTTGGTGTTTCTCCTACTTTAATAAAGGTTCTCTGCATTGTGTTCATATGTATTAGACACATACTGTAAGCTGGTTATTGACCATTTAAGCCTTCCCTTGATATTCACTGACTACTTTTAATTACCACCTTTATATTCCCAAAGCCACATTTGTATCTTTTCCCCTTTCCCTATTTTAACATTTTTATAGGATCTTTGATGTTATAACAAACCTTTAGTGATGTACCATCTAGGGCGAGGAGATCAAAAGTACCTGTGTGAAACTATATATGTATAGTTACAAAGCAGTTTACTAAAAGATGGCCTTTTCATCTCAAATGCTAAGCATCCTCATTTTATCTTGTTTCTTTTTTCTTTCAGAAGCCAGATACACCTCAGACCTCAGGCACTTTTGTCCCCGTTGCTAATGAACTAAAACGGAAAGACAAGTACATGAATGTCCTCTTTTCCTGTCATGTCCGTAAGGTAAGGCAAACTTGAAACCGACTATCCTGGGAAAAAAAGATTCATTTGAAACTCATTTAACTGCACCTGAGTAACATAACAGCAGTTGCATAACTAGCTGCACTACCTGTCAGCTACACCTGTCTGTGCTGAGGCATTGATGGGATGGCTAAGGTGACTGGTTTTAGAGTTAGGCTGTAAGTCCTTCCTAAGGGAAGTGAAGCTTTTGATAACCATCGTTTGCTTGGCTTTTTTTTTTTTTTTTTTTTTTTTTTTTTTTTTTTTTTTTTTGTGCCTACACATGTGCTGGCCAGAGACAGAAAGAAGAAGAGGGAAGGGAGAAAGCACCACCCACCGGGGTACTATGATCCACTACAGTCCCTTTGTTTCTCCATTCTTTTAGGATTCGGGACACACACACACACACACACACACACACACACACACGCCTAGATTATTCTTCCAGCCTCCAGGGCCAGGATTCAAATCTCAGTCGGCCATGTGGGATCTGGCTCCCTTAACTACTAGGCCATGGGACTGGCCCAATAATTATTTCTTTTTTAAACAAAGTGGGGACCTCTTTGAGGTCAGAGTGGGATCTGTATTTTACTACATGTGTATCTTTCACAGCACCTACAGATCTGCTTTGTCCTTAGTGGTCATTCAGTACTTTTTATGTGTGTATTATTAGTATTTAAGAAAATAGGTTATAGAAGAAAGCACATAGTGTGGAAATGAGAGTAGGACAAAGCGTGAAGGAACTTGCATGCTGTGAATGCATTTGCTTGTCTGAAGCAAGATACGTGTACTGTTGCTTCCCTGGAGATGATGGCAGTCTAGCAACTGGAAGTATGGAAATTCGGAAATGAAAGGCAAGAGACATAGTTCATTTTTTAAAACCTAAAAGTGCTCGTTTAGAAGAATATAGAGAAAAGAAATTGAAATAATTATTAAAGAGCATGTTATAAAATTGTCTGAACTTCAAAATAGTAATGAAATGATAAATTTAAAGAAAATATTGCCTCACGTGACCAAGAAGAGATTGACATAAAATGACAATATCTAAGGAGGAATTAAGAAAATTATCAAAGAATTACCTCATAACAGAGTTTCAGGTTAGGTGATTTCACAGATACATCATTTCAAATCTTTTTTTAAAAAGTTCATAAGTATAACCTGCTTCAGGGGAAAAATGAAATATGATTTTTCAGCTGTAAATTTGGTAAACTTCAAAAAGTTCATAATAACTAGTCTTTGCAAAGAATTACAGAAACACTATTGGTAGGAGTATAATATACAATGCTTTTGAGTGAACAATTTGGCAGTAGCTATCAAAATTTTAAATGCCTATGCTACTTAATCCAAGAATTCCTCAATTCAGGATCTGCCCTACAAATATATTTGCACAGATAGCCAAAGGTAGATGTATATATGAGTTCATATTTTACAGCAATCAAAAAGCTGGTAAAAGTCTGTAAATGTGCATTAATATGTGATTATATTAATAATAGAATACAGTGTAGCTGGTAAGATGAATGAGAATAGAATGTATATGGGAGAAAGAATGAAACAGTGGTTTTCATGACAGTGGACATTAAGAAAGAAAAGACAGTAATCTCTGAACTATGAGGTGAAGTGAGCCCTGTGATTGTCCTTGAGAGACCTTCCAGTCCATGGCATGAGGAAATGAGCGATCAAGGCAGAGTCTAGTAAATCCCCTGATTCATAAGACAGAGTTGAGAAAGACCAAGGCTTGGGACCAACAGTTGGCGTAGTGGCTATGTCGCTGGACTCCCATGTAGTCGCCGGGGTTCGAGTCCCGGACCCCGTGAATAATTATTAAAGAGCATGTTATAAAATTGTCTGAACTTCAAAATAGTAATGAAATGATAAATTTAAAGAAAATATTGCCTCACGTGACCAAGAAGAGATTGACATAAAATGACAATATCTAAGGAGGAATTAAGAAAATTATCAAAGAATTACCTCATAACAGAGTTTCAGGTTAGGTGATTTCACAGATACATCATTTCAAATCTTTTTTTAAAAAGTTCATAAGTATAACCTGCTTCAGGGGAAAAATGAAATATGATTTTTCAGCTGTAAATTTGGTAAACTTCAAAAAGTTCATAATAACTAGTCTTTGCAAAGAATTACAGAAACACTATTGGTAGGAGTATAATATACAATGCTTTTGAGTGAACAATTTGGCAGTAGCTATCAAAATTTTAAATGCCTATGCTACTTAATCCAAGAATTCCTCAATTCAGGATCTGCCCTACAAATATATTTGCACAGATAGCCAAAGGTAGATGTATATATGAGTTCATATTTTACAGCAATCAAAAAGCTGGTAAAAGTCTGTAAATGTGCATTAATATGTGATTATATTAATAATAGAATACAGTGTAGCTGGTAAGATGAATGAGAATAGAATGTATATGGGAGAAAGAATGAAACAGTGGTTTTCATGACAGTGGACATTAAGAAAGAAAAGACAGTAATCTCTGAACTATGAGGTGAAGTGAGCCCTGTGATTGTCCTTGAGAGACCTTCCAGTCCATGGCATGAGGAAATGAGCGATCAAGGCAGAGTCTAGTAAATCCCCTGATTCATAAGACAGAGTTGAGAAAGACCAAGGCTTGGGACCAACAGTTGGCGTAGTGGCTATGTCGCTGGACTCCCATGTAGTCGCCGGGGTTCGAGTCCCGGACCCCGTGGCTTAGACTCATGCCGGGCATGTGTGTGCATGCCCAAGATCCTGAGAGGAGAATAGAGGAGAAGGGATTGCGGTGTGGCCTTCCCCCCCGGGGGGGTATTAATTTCTCGCTTTCTGTCTCTCTGTCTCTGTCTTTCTGGTGAGCTCACGCACCCTATAGCAAAAAAAAAAAAAAAAAAAGAAAACCTCTCCAAAAACAAAAAAAGAAAGACCAAGGCTAGAGCCAGAGTTTAGCCTAGTTTGCAAAGCAGAGTACCAGGGGAAAGAGAGCTGTATATAAAGAAGATTCCAGAGTTTTTTTTAAATTTGTTTGTTTTGTTTTTAAGATTTTATTTATGTATCTATTTATTTTCAAGCCACAAGGTCCAGGACTCGAACCACAGTCAGCCGTTTGGGTATCCAGCACCTTAACCACCATGCCACATGCTGGCCCTTCCAAAGACTTTTGGAGGATGTACTTTGAACCTTCAGCTGAGTACTGGCCAGACATACATACAAGGAAACAACTCAAGTGTAGGGGAAGAACCACCCTAAAGAGTTAGAAGTAGCTATGCTCAGTACACACACAGGGTTGCAAAATTGCCTGTTCCCACCACTGAGATGAGAAAACCTTAGGAGTGATGGGGTATTAGGTAGAGGACTGACAAGGGTCTCACCTTAATAGGTGTGAATAATTAGCCTTTCAGTAAACACTGCTCCATTTCTATCCAACAAATCTCAAAAGCAGAATCAGAATCAAACTGTTGCCAAGTAACCAACAGCATTCCAAAACAAAGCATAAAAATGTTTATAGGAGTGTGAAAATATCCCAGAAGGTAGAATTCAGAATATATGGCATCCAGGCAAAAATTACCAGGCAGGGGCCAGCAGGTGGCATGCATGGTGGTTAAGGTGCTGAACTCCCACATGGCTGACCACGGTTTGAGTCCTGAACCTGGTGGCTTGCTTTCTCAGTTTCCCTCTCTTTCTCTTCCTGTATCTTGCTAGTCAAATTGAAAATATAATAATAATTATTATTATTAAATTAAATAAATAATTATTTTTTAAAAATAATTACTGGGCAAAGAGACCAGACAGCAGTGCCATGATAAAATGGGATGTTACATAAGGCTGGTCCACATGAGAAGGTTCTGGGCTTCTGCTCAGAGACCTCCTTGAACATGCTGACCCCATGCTGCCGATGGTCAAGGGTTGGCTGAGCCTAGAGGTGGACTACAGTGTCAAGACCCAATTGGAGATGTGCTCTCTATCTCTCTCTTTCTCTCTGTCTCTTTTTATCTCTGTCTCTCTCTCTGTCATGAAAGAAACTTAAAAAAAAATTACCAGGCTTATGAAACAACAGGAGAATACAACCTGTCAATATAATGAGAACAATCAGTCATTCAGACTGACCCAGAACCGACATAGACGGTAGAATTAACAGACAAGGTTAACAATTATGATTGTGTTCTCTTAAATTCAAAAAGATAACGGAAAGATTAAACATGTTAAATAGATACATGGAAGCTTTAAAAATGACTTTCATTGAACTTATAGAGAAGAAAAATAGTAAAATTGAAAATATAGCTATAAAACTACCCAGAATGAAACACAGGTTAAAAAAAGACTCAAAGCGTCCAGGAGCTAGCAGACAACTTCATGTGGCCTAATATAAGTGTAGTTGGAATTCCTGAGCAAGAGGAAAGAACAAGAGAAATAAAAAAGTACTCAAGGGGCTAGCAAGTGGCATAGTGGTTAGGGCACTGGACTCTCACATGGCCAACTGTGATTCCAGTTCTCAAACCTGGCAGCTTGCTTTCTTACTTTCCCTCTCCCTCCCTCTGTCTCGCCATGGTCAAATTAAAAAATACCGGGTCATCAGGAAAGTCATGATGTGTTTTTCATTATGAGTTTCCCAATACTCCAGTAAGAATAATAAATAAAATTAAATAATTCTTAAAAAAAAAAAAACTAAAGAAATTATAGCCAGCATTCCACCAAATTTGATGAAAACATTCCACCAAATTTTTCCACCAATAATAACAAATAAAATCATTTTTAAAAAAAACTTGAAAATATAATAGTCAACATTCCACCAAATTTAATAAAAATGGTAAACACCACAGACCAAAAAGCTCAATAAGTACCATATACCAAGTACATTGTGATCAAATTGCTCAGTGCTAGTAATAAAGAGAAAAGGGAGGGACCAGCAGTTAGAGGAGTGGCTATGTCGCTGAACTCCCATGTAGCCAACGGCAGTTCGAGTCCCAGACCCAGGGGCTTAAACTCGCGCCGGGCATGTGTGTACGCTTGCCCAAGA